ACCAATTATTTCTCTACAAATTGGACTCCTTATCAAGCATTTCTCATCACCCAAGTTGGGAAGAGACACCTGGTTTTCCACAACTGGCTATTATCAGAGCTGAAAAGTCAAATGACTTTCTAGTCAAATGACTAAATACATTGTCATGTGCCACATAACCATGTTTCGGTCAACAACAGGCCACACATACGATGGTGGTCCCATAAGATTAATATCATACAGCCTAGGTGTGTGGCAGGCTGTACCATCTAGGCTTGTGTAAGTACTCTCTATGATGTTCACACAATGACAAAATCGCCTAACGACGCATTTCTCAGAACTATCCCCGAGGTTAGGCGACGCATGACTGTAAATGATTGCTAATTAAGTAGAGTTCTAATTATGAAGTCCACCATCACTTCTATGCAGTCTGCAGTGCTCTCTTCAACATTACATAATCAGTCCAACTATTCATAACTTAGGGTAAATACTTCATTTCCCTCTGATTTGATGGATGGGTACTTGAGCATGAAGCTTATATACGCAAAATAAACCCTGGTTGCAGGGTTCTGGCACAGTCTCACTTCTAACACCACACACTGGAGGTTGTGCTTAAATCTCTGAGCCACTGGCGAAATCACGTTCTACACGGATGGTGTTACCATAATCCATTATTTTCTGAAACTGTCAAACTTGAGGCCTTGAGCTGGAAAGCTGCGAACAAAAATAAAACCCCGTTGCATTTGGAAGCCTACCTCTCCGTGGAAGTTCTAATCAGGTTGAGTACAGTTCTGTGCTACACAGAACAGCTTCAGTGCAGGAGGTAGGCCATTAAATGCCATTAGTTACTCCTGCCGAGAGTGGAAAAGTCCTCAGAAATGCATAAAAATTAAATTGCTTATGAGGTAAGGAATGAGACGGTACTTAGCTGCCAAATATTACTTTCGGTTCAAATGCTCTGCAATCACACACACAGTGCAGAATCAGAGTACATACCTGCATGGAATGCAGCACTGACGAGGAATCCTGTGCCCCCAAATCAAATGACATCTCATCATCTGGTGACAATCCCGATTTTGCTTCAAGTTAACTTTCACTCTGTCTCCCATCCCCACCCCAGGTGGAGCCCACAACCTCCGTTCCAGGCTGGACATGGGACTCAGGCCGGCCCAATCAGAGCGCCATTGATGCTTGGCCTCAGTGACTGAGTGACGGAGGCACGTGACCCAGTTGGAGCACCGAGGTGCAGTCGGGGGTGTATGGGACTATTGAGAGAGAGAGACACACTCCCCTCTCCCCTCTGCTCTCCCGGAACCTGGGAGAAGCTGGGTCTGGGGCTGCAGTCACCCGTTTTGCCGTCACACGCAACCTGTGAAGGAGGCAACAGGGAGGAGCAGAGCTGAGCGCTAGTGAGATGCTGGATCCTTATGACACTGTTCTGAGGCCCAGAATCCAGTGGTCCCTCTGAGTTCTCAGTTACATCAGCCAATAACTCCCATTTTTCTCAGATTTAGGTTTTCTTTCACTTGTAATCAAAATAGTCCTAATCGACAACCAATGAAAATGGAGAACCATTTTAATTTACATTTCAGTCTTGGAAGAGGCTCATCTCATTGTACAGATGCGGAGGGACCCTGAGAGTAGGTAAGTGGCCTGCGGAGTCCTGTCCTGGCTAGTGGCTCAGCAGGACTAGAACCCCGGGCTCCTGCTTTCTCGTGTGGTGTTTTCACCGCACCGTGGGAAAAAGTCACACACTGGACTTGTTTCAAACTTTTAATAAAACTTTGCTCTGATTAAAAGTTTACTTACTGGGTATTATACTTTAAAAAAGAACTTATAAATTACTATCTTAAGTCATCCTTTGCATTGTTACTTAGGATATGGACTTGCAAATACATTGCTAAATTTCTCAGAAGTGTGCTTGTGCTCTGCTGTAGCAGCAATAGAAATATCCCAACAAAAATAGCTTAAAATGTTTTATTAAGTATATATAATATTACAGGGTAATATTTACAAAGTTATGTTTTTTTAAATAAAAAAGTATCTTGGCAAAGATTGCAGATATTCAAAGCTTCAAACAGTGATAAATTGATTTAATACATATAAAAAAAAACCTTTAACGGCAACACAGCTGTAAAACAACTTTGGTCTTTAAATCACTGCAAAAAATGGCTACTGACAAATAGCACACCTTTAATTGCTATGGAAAAAAAGCCCCCGAGAGAGGTTCTTGCACATAGCAACACTGGAGTTTTCTTTATTTAGAGTGGTTAATGGATATTTATACGGTGTGGGAACTAATTCTCAACAATGGCTTTTTGTAAATAATGCTCTGTTGAATAAAAATGAAAATGTTTCCCTCTCTCACCAACCCCGATAGCAACACTTTTAAGATTCCACTGATGTTGCCTTACAGAGAAGCTTATTACAAATGCTCTTTTTTTCAAAAGGCTAAACTTATGGAAAGCTGGTCTTCAATGATAAGTAAGAGCTGTCAAAAGCCAAAGGCAGGAAAACATCCTGTTCACTGCACATCTTTGAACAGTTACCTAGATTATCCCTATTAGCCATGGAAAATGACTCAGAGGACCCCAGCAGATGATGGTAGTGAGTGATTCTGAAAATACGACGCATGTAAAACTAATGTTTCTAAACATACTCTCCATCAAACAAAACACAATAAAAAGATAAAGGGTTGCCTAACAATCATTTCTCCAGTTCCCATCGACAGGTAAATAAAGGAGTATGTACTTCCATACACCACAGGTCTCTATATTTGAATACCCATTTTAGGACAAGAGAAATCTAGAAGGTGATATAGAGTTTAATTCTTATTAATGAGATGGAGGAGTAAACTTATCACTTTTTGAGCTTTATTAGCTCAAACCACAACTTGATTGGTCACTTACTACACTGACTACAGCATCCTGAAAAGAGCAATACTCCCAATTGTGGCATAGCCCCATTATTTTAATACTGATATTTGCAGAAATTTAAACAGAATGGACCTGGAGGTTCCAGGTGAAAAAATCATCACCTTTTAAGGTTTTCAGAGCATGTGAAATTTGTCAAAAAAGAAAACTGTCTAGCTCACCCTATTAAAACTAGTGGGAAATCTACATACAGCCAACTTTCAATCATTAAACTTATGAACTGAGTGTCTAATGTATGCAAAACACTACAGGAAGAGAAAGGAAGGAAAAAAAGCTTTTGCTGTGTATGGAGGAATTTTTAAATTGAGTGAGAGAAGCAAGACAAAAAGAAAAACCCAACAGAGCTAAGCAGACACATTACTTAGGAAAGGTAAGAGATGACAAGAGGCGGCTCGACAGATGGGGACAGACAGCAAAGGAGAGCGGGGGGGTGGGAGGGCTGGAGGGTAATGTTTTGAAGGAGGTGGAAAATTTTATTTGGCCAAAAAGGCTGGAAAGGTTGCTGCAAAAATGACAAATGACATCACTCTGAGGAAGTACAATAAATAAAATTGAATGGAAGAGTCGATGGCAAAAATCGGGATGAGTGAGTAAAAAGCAGATTATGGGGGGGAAACAGATGTATCATGGTCAGAACATTGTCCGCAATTTTAATTTGGTGTGACAGAAAACTGGAAGCCGTTACAAGTCCGATTTAAAGAGAATGAACTGGCTCAATGATGCCCAAGCAAGAGGGCTCGTGCTGCCGTGGTCCCTTTTCCAGATGCTGACACCTAGTAAGAGCAAGAGTTGATCTTATCTGGCATTTCTCCTGCTACCTCTGTGCACTGTCTAGGGCAGTGAATGCCTCAGAAGACAGGCAGCATCCAAGAGAACACAAAGGATGGATAAGTCCCCAGACTGAACCCAAATAAATGAGTTTACTATGTATTAAAAGGTACAACTTTAGTTTATTAAAAAGGTTACTATAAAGATTTTCGTACCTGACTTTTTCTTAATAGAGAATAGGAATTGGATCTTTTTCAAGTCCATCTGCTTTTTTCCTCCTTTCAGCAAAATTGATTTCTAAAGTCACAAATGATATTAGTAAAATACACATTCAGAAGGAAAAAGAGCAGCAGGAGCCATCGGATTTGTATAAAGAAATGCAGCTCCCTCTACATATGATAATATTTTGGACAGCAACGTAATTAGGGAATAAAATATATTTTTGTTTTTTGTCCAAGAAGAGCTGTCTTCAGAGTGTGTTCAGTTTTCTCAGAGGCATCAGCAGGTCATAAATTTAGGTTTGCATGGGCAAACCACTTGGTCCCAACCTGAAATATGACAATTAATTTGGCATAAAAGAGGCACATGGGAACATTCAGTGGACTAAGAAATAACTATTAGTAATGCAACTACAAATATGAATATCTCATTATTACACAAACAGGAAGAATAACTAGTATTTTTGGAGGGCACTGGTGAGCAGTCCAAAAGCTTGGCAAATTACCTAGAAGTTTTTAAAGTTTTAAGTGATCAAATATCCACATCAAATATAATTGAACCCAATAAAGATTTTGTTTTTAAATGTTTTGACTAAAAGCATGAAATTAACATTTGCTCTCCTGTAGGTATCACCTCACTGTTGTCCATACAGAAGATGCATGTGCCTATTGTATACATGTGCACACACAAACACACACCCACAAAGGAGGAAGATGAGTGCTAATAATGTAAAAGTACTCCAGGCGACCACAACTGTCAGAATGTTAATTTTCTTCTAATGGGGGTAGGACACGTGGGGGTTCTGTTTTGCTTCTCAATCTCAGAGGAAGGGGCGTACGAGGCAGGACTACAGGAGGAAGATGATGAGTGCTTACCATGCAACACAGATACAACAGTTACAAAACCGCCCTTTCAAGGGCTGGCCTATTGGCATGACAGTGACACACATTATGTTGCCATGCAGCAGACTCACAGTTCAAATCTCAGTCTTGGTTTTTCATGCCCCAGATCAGAAAAGAAGTGAAGAAACACTGTAGACTGTGCCTTCAAATCCAAGGAAGGGAATACATATGTTACAACCATCGCTATTTATGTTGAAAAGTGTGAACATAGTTCTCTAAGAACTAGCTTGGCTCCTTTCTGCAATGATGCTACCGTGTCACTGGACCATGTTCAAAGAGGAGAAAAGGTGCTACATCTTGTACAGCAGAAGCAAATAACAGGAGGACGAGACAGGGTTCAAAGGGTTGTGTGAATAAAAGAAAAACAAATTCATCAATAAAATGACGCTAAATCTGGAAAGGATCTGTTACACTGTATGTTGAAGATAGAATGTGTGAATGGCAACCCCCAAGAATGAAGACCATGATCTCCGCCAGCATCACACTACATGTAGGCAGCATACAAGATGTTCCCAACCAAATTCCCGTCTGTACTTAATTTGCTATTCCTTTGACCCAGAAGTGGCAGACACATCATTCAGCTACCACCCCAACTGCAAAAGCGGCTGTGAACCTGAGTTTCCTAAGGTTCGATGGAAGCCACTGTTTTTCATAGATATCTTAGGGTAACCACCAGGTTAGTGTCAGGTAATTCTCACCTTGACCAATTTAGACTGATGACCTAGAGTTGAGAGGCTCTCAGATCTGAAAGGCATCATTCTTGGAAGTTGCCCACTCTACTTTTGCCCCTAATCGAATAAAAATAACAACAAAAAACTAGATCTCAATTGGGCACACAACACAGATCATAATTCTTTTATTAACTAAATTACAAATGCATTGAATAAAAACTTATTTATAACAATCATTTAAGGGTCAATGATATACTTTCTCCTGTAGATAAAAACCAGTTACTTTTCTTGTTTTATTCTCCAGAACAGTGAATCAGGGCCATGGTGCATAAACACAAGTGTATTCCTTTCACGTCTTACTATTCTCCAAATCAGAGTCCGTCACTTCACTTCAGTTATTCTGGAAAATTGAAAAATAAACACATAATAGCTATTCATGTCTATTTTCTATGCATTAATAAGCTGATGTATTTTAAAAATTTGGAATTGTTTCAGATATACAGTATCTAAAAATAGTATCTAGAAAAAGCTTTTAATCTTAGATTTGCAAGGGTCACAGACATAAACCAGGCAAATCACCAGTCTTTTTAGTTGCAGGAAGTAAAAGGCCAATGCAGATGAAAATTAAAATCAACAAAGTCTGGTAATCTCCGTTTGCTGGATGAGCTGAGGAGAAGCCAAGAGATGTTGATTTTTCAAAGCAAAAGATATTAATCCTAGAATAATATTCAATCACATTCAGTTTAGATCTACATCATTCATTTAATGTCAGTGAAATAAATAGGTGATCAGGTGTACGTGAAAGAGGAAATGGTGCCGCAGTCCCTAGGAGGGTACTCCAGACCTCTCTCACCGACAAGGCAGACACACTGTGAGCATGGAGTAGCTGTCAGCAGGAGCCCACGAGACAGGCAGTTTAAAAAAACCCAACAAATCCTGAACAGCTAACTATGTGCCAAACTAACAGGAAAGAGAATTTCAAAGGTCATCGTAGATTTCATGTGCTATGAACGCACAAAAACTGCTGTATCTCCTGATATAATGGCTCAAAAAAAGTCACATCTTAAGAAAAACTAACAAAGAAAGAGGCATTCAAGGTTCTTATACTGGTTTTCTGAAAATGGAGAAAAGGAGTTTAGTTTCTTCATACAACTATGGAAGAATGACACCACAGGAGGAAAAGGAAAGAACAAACAGATGAAGATATAGAACACAAAGATGTAAACACGGACAAAGCATGCCACAATTCCAGGTACCAGCTCTTTTTTTGATGTCATTTAATGTACGCCTACTAACTATAATTTATGTAGGAGGGTGGTGGTTACTATAACAAAACATGCATTTTTGTAATAAAGGCTGTGACACAAACTTACAAAAGTGGGATCGTTCTGTGACTCCTTGTTGAACACAACCTAAGCATCGTTTTAAATTTAGTCCCCTGACACAATCGGTGTGTTTTTAATCTTATGCAAAAATTAACTGCACTCAGAGGAATACAGCCTCTTGAGTTAAATGCTGCACTTTGCTGTAGAGGTGAGCAGGTAGGTCACAGACTTTAAAACAGTAAAATAAAAAACAAACTTTCCATGATCAATGAATGATTATAAATATCAAAGGTATGAAGAAATTCTGATAGGATTAAAACAAGTAGTTATTAACATGTTAACAGAACTGAAGTATCATAGCATGTTAAGGTAAAGTCAAAATGAATACTTAGCATTCAATATCTCAGACTTATATATCTTTAGGAACTAACAAATATATGTCTTTGAAGTGTTCAATAAAAATTGGAAGTTATTAGCCCAGATTTAGGAAAAAAGAAGAAAAACTGGAGTGTCTAAACATTTCTCTCTCTCTCTTTTTAAATCCTCTCCCACAAGGTTAGAACCCCATTCCTGCCTGGAAAAGCAGAGATATAAAGTCCCCATGGGTTAAATGCGACAAAATTGCCAAGACAAGCACAAAAGAAACTGTCAAGATGACAAAGACTTGTGCCAGATATCTACGTGTCTTATAAAAAGCACTCTAAAGTTACAGTCACCAGACGCTGCATCTGAAAAATGTTTTTGAAAAAGTGGTAATTTCTCTTTGCTATGAGCAACATGACTGGACAGTCTGATTAGTGACACCCACAGCTTTTATATTATTAGTTTTGCAATTTTTAACAGAGTAGACTTAAGTTTTATAAATCAAGAAAGGTAGACCTTTATGATTTGACAGTGTCCTTTTTATTTAAAAAAAAAAGCCATACTTTCAAGAAGCTATTTTATTTCTTTTCAATGTCCATATTTTAACCAATCTATAATGGTAGGTACATTTTATACTCACCATCGTTCATCATTCCTTTTGATTCTTTAAATGCTAAGAATTAGTAACAAGCCAAGCAGGTAGTTAGTAAGGTTCCACAATTAGAAATCATTTCTAAATAAACATGCCAACTATTGCACAGCTATAAAGCCAAATTAATGTTAAGGCTATCATTTTATTACAAAGCCTTTCTGTGGATCATACCCACAGTGCCCACAAAGGAAACAAAGTCAGTTCGGAATATAGATCTAGATTTAGGGAGAAAGAAAGTGAGACGTTTGGTCTTACTCCATACTGACAGCCTGTATCTTTCTGAAATTTACACATCAGAAATGGAAATTAATTGAGATTCTTCTCTACTAGGGGTGCTGCACTTCACCTCGGGCAACACAAAAAAGCAATGGTCCCCTCGCCCAGTATCACTTGGCTAGTGCCAGCAACTACTTAATGCACAGAACAGTGCATTTTTCTCAGAGGTGAGAACATTACATAAGCAATACTTTTAATTCCTGATGAATAATCAAGAAAAGAGAGGTCAAGGTAAGGAAAAAAACTAGATTCTTCCCAAGGCATAGACAGGGCATCCTAATTGCTTTGGGGGCCAGTTCAAATTATGGTCTGGTAATGGATCAAGAAGAATATATAAGTTTGTAATAACCACATACCATTAAGGGGTTCCTCTACAGCTTTCTGGAAAATATTTAAAATATATTTACATAAAAATAGAATTTATTTCATGTCCTTATATACTGAAATTTATATATGCTAACATTTAAACTATATAGCAAGCAGTGAATCCTATAGTCTAAAAACACAATAAGGCAACAAAGGTTAAAAAAACAAAGCTTGCCAAGCCTAGCAAATAGTTTAATAATAACTGTATTATTCTGCTAAGATTCTTTTTCTATGCAGAATTTCCCACCCCACCATCTCTCACTGTTCAAGAAATCCTAACTTCTCAAAAAAAATTACTAAAGCAGAAACCTCAATAGCAACATAATAAATAATGAAGTTAAGCAAGAGAAGAGAGTAAGACAGAATCATTTTTAAGTCATGCAGATTGAACTCAGGAACAGGGAAAGAGAATGCGTTAAGATATAAAGGTCTAATGATTGGGTTATCTCTAACAGAGGCACTTTAAAAACTGCTGGCTGTTTGTGACCAGTGTAGCTATGGCACCAATCTTTTTAGAAGAAACACCTGTGGGAAGATGCACCCCACCCCCTTGCCCTTCAGGTACGTCTGTTAAGGCCTGTCAGATTCAGGAGCAGGTAGAATCTCCACTTCCTGCTGCAGACAGGAGTCTCGCTCTTGGCATTCCAGATAGAGCTCTCATTAATCCTTTATAGGAAGATGAGTCCACTATAGTCCTTTCCAGATCTTATTTCCATAAAGTAGCTCCTGTGCCATCACCATGATGAGTTTATAAAGGTTTTCTTCACCCCCCTCACTTATCCCTCTCAGTTTATCTCCTAAATTTGCCCTTTTTCTTGGAATTTTCTCAGCGTGCTCAGGTATTGAAGATATAGTGAAAACTACAGTACAGTTTGGAGGAAGAAAAATGCTTATAAAATAAGGGAAGGAGGGAAACGAATCACAATTCAGAACATATTTTTTGAACAATATGTACATTTATTTTATAGATTATTATTTTTAATGAAATCAATTGAATATAAATCTCTCTCTCTCTCATTTTTAAGCCTGAAATATCAGTTTGTATATGCACATCAAATGGATCCAACAGGTGAGGCAATATATTGGAATCAGCTTCCTTCAGCAGAGGTATTGACCATTATTCTTACACATAAACTTTCCAGTTCCGGGTGTGAGAAGTCAGTACAATATTAAAAGGAATCATTTATCTTTCCCACTGCTACTAAATGACCAAACATAGGTTTTAACATAGAACTGGATCTATTCATGCAAAGGTCATGAAATGACTTCGACGTTCTCTTAATTTGATGTTACACTAAACAGATGCAAAAAAGGGTCCAATATCTCAACTACCATTCCTCAATCTAAACCATCCAGTGATCATACCCAATTCATTTAAGAAATATAAACTTACCCTAGAAGTCTGTATAGTCTTCTTATGGGAATCTGATAAAATTAAAAAATATGGAAAAGAATTTAATAAGTAAAATAAATTAAGGCAATATAATGTTTAATTTTTAAGATAAAATGTTCAGGGCTGAAACCAGAGGTGCCAGAATCCATTGAAAGAGTTCCAACTTTAATAGTCTCTTAAAATATACAGAACATTCTTGACCATATGCATTAATAGAATACCATGATACAAATAATCTACCTATATCAAATAATAAAAATATACATTCTCTCATTTGTGCATGCCATCTCCCCATAAATCAGCCACTTGTTACACTTCATGGTGGGAAAATGTTGTCATCTCCTCACTCCTACTGTAGACTCTACATCCCTCCCCACTCAACCCAACCAGCATGTGGACAGAATGTGGCAGTGACCACTCTCCACCTCTATTTCATCGCCCACCCTGAGCTCACTGCTCTTGTGCCTTGTAGCCTAGTCTTCTTTTCTTTTCTTCCACCTTTCCAGTTTTCAAAGCTCCACATAGCTAACAAATTAAAGAAAATATTCAGATCCCTCTGAGTTTAAAGAATTATTCTAGGCAGCTAGCTTTAGCTACAAACAAGCCCTTCTCTGTGTTTTCTTAGCTTTCTGAGTTACCCTTCACAGCTTCTGAATGGACTGGTTAATGAAGATGACGGAATATATGGTGTGAAGAAAATGACAAAAGGGAAAAGAATTGCCCTAGTTGCATAGGGAAGAAGAGAGAACTTCCTTACAAAACCCAAGGGAGGAAGTCCCAGAGCAGCTAAAACTAGTCCTAAATACAGAATCAGAGTCCTACAGATACAAACGCATCAACCAGCAACATCTTGTGAATCCCTCTGCAGGAGAGTGATGCTACTGGATGGAGGAGTCAATTCCACCGTCCTCTGGATTGGATGACAGCACTGCATTTGCTTACCAGCACACTGAGGCAGGCCCCCAGAGCTGTTCTGGTGTTCTATGCTATTTATTTACCACCACTCCTCCACATCCACTCTATCAAGCTTCCAAAGCTGATGGAAAACGAGGGTGAGACCAAGGGCAGCCAGTCTATAGGTTAGCTAGCAGCTGATAAGGCTCTCTCAAACAGGAAAAATGGCAACTGACTGGCCTGAAAAGTTTCTCTCTTCCACTGGAATCTGAAGGGGGAGAAACAGAAAAAAGACTAGAAAATTGGTGATGATAAAGGAAGGTGACAAGGAGACAGAAAGTAAGCAAGGAGAAGTTCAAAGCTTAGAGCTATAGATAAGAAAAGCTAACAGTGAGAAGAGAAGAATAAGAGAAAAAATAAGGACATAAAAGGGAGGATGAGCTAGTTGACTAAAAGGTAAAGAACCAAACAGAGAGGAACTAAGTAACTATAACTGGCAGAAGGGCATCAACTAACTCTTGTTACTGAGAGGGCAACATGATGACTCAGTCCTTAGAGATGTATTGGATCCTTCCAATTCTTGAACTTCTTACTTTTCGATTCTCTCTGAGGCCCAGTTACGTATCTGCTCTCATGAGATTTCCATCTCTGTTAGTTTCAGGCGTGGCTTTAAAGTAAATCTCTCTTACTGGAGGCACTTGGGGAGTGGTTTGGTCCACGCAACCAAACAAGAAGTAAACCTCTTTTTAAAGAACTATGGTGTGAAATGAGTTGGGAATGTGGGTGAATCACACTTAGCAGCCTCCCAAATAAACCAAGCAGAATTATAGAACTTTGTTAGGGATCATCATGATGGTTACATATATACACAACTTACTTCAACCAAACCATGCCCTGCATCAACATTATCTCAAGGAGAAAAGAACTGAACCGCTATGTAAATTTCTGATTCATTATGTGAAGGGTCAGAGGTAAGATTTTAGAGTTACATTTTTGAGCTCATAAATTTATTTATGAGAATTAGTATCAAGAACTGCCAAGTAACTCCTTTATTACCCTAATAATGTGTAAAGAATAGTTTCTGAGTTTCAATTCCCAGGTCAAAGGAACATCATATTCGGCTAGCCCATTCTGAAAAAAAGAGATCTACAAAGAACAGTGACTCAAAGGGACACCAGTCAGCTGTGCTCCTTCTAATATTATAAAACCAAACAGTGCAGAAGTTAATTTCACTTGAGTTAATCCTCTCGAATAGGCATATGACCTATGTGCCTGAAGAATGACTGATTTCTCTGTTGCCGCCACAGGGCTAAGGCATCGACGGCCACATATATATATTTAAACCATAAGCTGTAAGCATTCCATATGAGCTCACTTGCAATGCTTCTTCTTGATTTGTTCTTCTCTCCCTGAAACACTTGACACACGCCATAAATCCATGTCTAGATTTTTAATTTTCAGGAACACGTTTTTCAGATTCACTTCTCCCCAACAATGGGCAAGAAAATATCACTGAATTTTATATATGTATTCCATGTCATTCTAAAACATCTTAGAGGTTGTGTTAAATACGGTTTCTGACTGATAGTAGATTGATTTGTATCAAAACATAATCATACGCCCTTATAATGAATTAACTGGTAATGGCTTTAAAAAAAGCCAAGTATTGACCCTTGTAAAGAATGGCTCTAAACACCCTGTATAAATAACAAGCCCAATTCTGGAGAGTTTAGTCCTTCTAATCTTCTATATGCTTTCGCATTGTTATTGTTCCCAGCTTCCAATTTCATTTCATAAAATTTAAATGTTTCCAGTAAAAAATAAAAAAATCCAACACAGTTAAAGAAGACCATGGAAAATGAAAGTTAAAATAACTCTTTAAAGTAACAATTAAGGCTACAAATTTGAACTTGAAAATAGTGAAAATTATAAAAGTGAAACTTTTCCTGGGGACGTTAACTTACTCTTACAGAGATAGACTGGATTTTTTTTTTTTAAACCATCTGAGGATTTTATTGCATTTAAGTCAAGACATATTCATCAGGCTTTTCCAAAACAGAGCATCTTCAATGAGTGAAAATTATTTTGGAAACATTTACAATTTTTACTTCCTGATATAAAGGCTCAAATTTGCAACCTTAACGTTACATATACTCAGATTTACACGCTCACATTCTATAAGAGAAACACATGAATTTTCCTAGTCTACCACATTACCTAAAGAGTAACTTTCCTGTACCTTTTCTCTTCTTGCCCTTCAACTGACCGAAGGTGTGCCTCTGAACTCTGGTGTCAGATAAGTTGATTAGAAAAGTTAATTTAGAATACTCTCAACATGTCAATAAAATTGGACTAAATTCTTAATTTACATATGGTATATTTATATGTTAAATTGTAATAAATAAAAAATAATTTGGGGAACGTCTCAGAATTTCACTTTCACTTTGATTTTAATGTGAAAACAGCATGTTTGTAATTACACTGGTTTCACAGGCCTCTTAGGGATGTAAGCAATGGAGAAGTGGGGTGGGGAGAGCAAGGTCAAGGGGCTGGCAGCTAGACAATGCCTATTTCCACTTCGGTCAGCTTCTCCAGATCTGTTGGCAAGTGTGCCGAACATCATCCTTTATTAGACAAGGAAGATGTGGGGTAGCATGGGAATCAAAGGGAGGGCGATCCAGATAATGAGGGAAAAAAAGAGCAAAGAGCTGATCATCAGTCAAAGACACCTAATACCACATCATGCTGCGTGCGTCCTACAGGTCACAGACTGCTCTCAAGCATTCACAGGGAGCAACAGAATCAGCAGTGTCGTCTTCAGGAACCAGACAAATGGTAAGTAGAAGACTCAACGAAAATAGAGTATGCATAATGTGATGCTCATGATAGCTACCAAATGAATGCCATTCTGGTCTAGAAGTCTTAATTGTGTTTTTTGGACTTAGGAGGCATGAACTAAGAATATTTCATTGAGGTAGCAACTCTGACTTATTAACACATAAACTAAAGATAGGTAGATTTTAGTTAAGTATTTTAATTGCTTATCCAATAAGCATTAATTAAAGGGGGACAAAGAATATACAACAGAATTGAACTTAATGATCAGTCAGTCAGCAAAAGCTAAAGTTCAGAAAAAGGTAAAATTTCTTTGCAAGTACCACGCGAGTCATATGGCAAATTATTTCACTATAACAATTCAAGGTTTGTATTAATTTTTAGAGACACATACAGTGAAGTTCTCCTAAAGCAAAGCAGAAACATCGATTTTTTTACTCCATTGATTTGTAACTTTTGATTATTTTGACAAATGTTTAAGCATTTGCTTTACTTCATAAATAAAAAAGAGTTCTATTTTTTAAAGAGAGACTAATATAAACCAGATTGTAGGAAACATTTTTAACTGAAGAAAGACAACACACTAATTTTGGACACTATTAAAAGCATCTACTTCTATATATGTATTAAAAATAAGAATTTACACAGAAACCTGTTATTTGAAAAGTGGCAGATTAAACACAAAGTTTGGAAACAAGCTAATTCCACACTTACTAATAATTGATTTTAAAAGTAGTAAAAGCCTAAATTTTAAAACTCAATGTTTTTATTATATTGATTTTAACCAAAAACATTTTAAAGTCAAGTGTCAGAGGACACTACTTTAATTAACAAAAATGACAGATTTTGAATTTCGATTCTTGTCTACTTAGGGAGTCCAAGTCTTACAAACAGTCTGCAAGAAGGGCAAGTGACAGACTGGTCTCTCTGAGAGAGCTCTGTCACAGAAACAATGGCCAATTAAAATCCTTTTGTATTAATTAAAATGAATCCTCAACAATCTCTCCTTTTACTTAGTATAAAAAACTACAAATTCTAAAACATAAAGCCATTTTCTTTTAAACTAGTTTATCACTTAAAATTTCATTAATTCATATGTCTCCTACCCTTTTTCATTACCCCCAATCATTCCAATTTTATTACTTAAAAGCTACAGCAGCATTCACTGTATTTTCTTATTTTTGGAGTTACCAATATATTCTTTGGTCCTAAACTATAAGAACTAACCAAAAACATTTTCCAAATTATACATCTGAAATTCTTGACATAGGCTAACAAAAATAAGTTTGACTTACCAAAGAATTTCATATAAACTAATCCAACTAATTCTGCTAGAGCTATAATACCCAAACCTGAAATCAGAAGAGGGCCATGCACTGGGGTGCACTCTGTAAAAACAAATGAAATTTTATATTAGAAATTCACATGAAATAACTGATTCTAATTATCAAGAAACAAAAATTATCTACGTATGTTCATCATTATTGCCGAAATGACTCTAAATTATTAAAAGAAAAAAGCCTTCATTTGCATAAGATGTACCTTATCATATCAAGACTAATGGAAAATGATGTGTGAAGCCTGAGGCTCCAACCAACTGGAGCCTGGTTATTTCAAAAGTTCTCCCCCAAATACAGATGTAACTGTTTAGCTGCTGGAACCATCAGCCCACAAGACATATACAGCCAATATTCTCATGGCAATGTGAAAGCACTATCCTCAGCTGGGAGGTGGGGGAGGGATGAGAGACAAAAAAGAAAAGCTCGCAACACCAAATGCTGGTGAGGATATGGAGCAACAGGAATTTTCATTCATTGCTGGTGGGAATGCAAAATGGTACAGCCACTTTGGAAGACAGTTTGGCAATTTATTACAAAACTAAATACAGTCTTAACATACAATCCAGCAATTGCACTCTTTGGTATTTACCCAAATGGAGTTGAAAACTTATGTCCACACAAAAACCTGCACAGGGAGGTGAATGGATAAATAAACTGTGGTACATCCACACAATGGAATATTATTCAATGCTACAAAGAAATGAGCTATTAAGTCATAAAAAGACATGGAAGAACCTTAAATGCCTATTACTGAGTGAAAGAAGCCAATCTGAAAAGGCTATATACTGTATGATTCCAACTATAAGACATTCTGGAAAAAGCAAAACTATGGAGACAGTAAAAAGATCAGTAGTTGCCAGGCATTTAGAGGGAGGGAGGATGAACAGGCACAGTACAGAGGATTTTTAGGGCAGTGAAACTTGTCCCTATGATACTATGTCTATGACTATGACCCATGTGATGATACATCTATCAAAATCATAGAACAGCACCAAGAGTAAGCTCTAAAGCAAACTACGGACTTTAGGTGATAATGATGTGTCAATGTAGGTTCAATGATTTTAACAAATGTGCCACTCTGGTGGGAGATGTCGATAGTGGAGGAAGCTGTGAGTGTGTGGGGTATATAAGAACTCTCTGTACTTTCCAATCAATTTTGCAGTGAACCTAAAACTGCTCTAAAAAATAGTCTGTAAATTTAAAACAAAAGAAGAAGAAAAAAGAAAGAGCTCTGCCCAAGAGAAATCTCCAGTTAGACAAACTGGGACTAGAGAAAGACGTGACCCTTACCTGAGATACAGAGGCTTAGTCCAACCACAGAGAGCACAAAGCCCAGCACCTGGAGGATCAGTATGGCGATGGTGGAGGAGCTCATCCCGAAAGCTGGAGGAGGGAAGAGCATGTTGAGAGTATTTGAGGAGCAATCACTCCTACTTATATTCTGTGCAATCAAGAATAACAGCCTCTGACCAAAGACTGACTCTGGAGGTCCTTGCCAGATAGTAGATGCTTTCCCAGGGCTCTAAACCTTGCCCTTCAACACAAACAGTCAGCTCCACATTCACACACCCAGCAGCCTTTTATTTTCACAGTGAGCTGAGCTGGATTGGCAGTTTTTACCCAAAATCTTAGAACAATGCTGCTTTTATCACATTTGGGCATTTTACAATATGAATGGCTATTATGCATGGCTTTGCCACATGCAAGCAAAATTGCTCCGGTGGAGAGAACCATTAGGCAAACAGGCCATTGTAAACATCATAACCTCTATCTTGTGTGTCTGGATGTGTGATTTTATAACAAAGTAATACCTTTCCAATGTACAGCAAGCCAGAGATAGGTTCTAAGAGCAAGAGTTAAATGTGCAAATAGAAAAAATAGACTCTTTAATAGTAACGAAAAAATGTTAGCAATTTACTCCCAAAATGCAGTGAAAATGATACCAATTATAGGTTGGATATCTATATCATCTTTTAAAACTACAATGTTAAGATTTGCCAATAATTAAAAAATATATATTTCTACTATTTGCGATTTATAACCCTGTTTTGTAGAACTGGTTTTTTTTTTTAATGGAGAGGCTTAGAAAAAAAGAGAAAGAGCATATTTAATATCCACTTGTAATTTCAAAAGACTGTAATAAGAATACGAAGATAATCATTAAGAAATTATGCAGCATAATTTAAAAAACCTACTGACTGGCATCAAATATATATGAAAATCACTTTTTACAAAGTAATTGAATACCTTGAAAAACTAAGCTAACCTTAAAATTAATCCATATGAGGAAAATGTCACTAAGAATAGTTTAGGAAATCTTTTAATAAACTAACTTTTACTGAGTTGTTAAAAAAACCATAAAGGAATATTTTAACCAAAAATTCTGTTTTTTACATGAAAAAGGTCAGCAAAATCATGCCATGACAACAAATACTCACACATCGAAAACACACAGTACTGAAGTAACGTTAATGTTGCTGTAGGAATTACAATTAAACCAAGTCCCCAAGCATTCTTTGTTGAAAATTCACCTGTTAATAAATAAAAATAAAATTTAAAATATTTTCCTACATACTTCCTACTCTACAGGAAGTTAAAGTTAACTTAATTTATTAAATGTATTAATCTCAATACTCCTCTTATAAACTGTGAAAGGTTTAAAAATGTTTCCCCCTAAACTTCGCACAAAATAAGTGACTATTTTTTGATTAAGACCAAACTTAAGACACCTAAATGTCAACATCTAAGTCTCTACATGTCAAAACCTTGATTTGGCTCTGCTTCCTTCTTAACTCCGTTACAGGATTCCAGTGAGACACCCTGGAGTCAGCTCTTACCACTCCTTTCCTTTGCCATATCCAATCTGTCCCCAAATCAAAACAGTTGTTCTTTCCAGTTGTCTTCTGAATTCATCTTCTTCCTCCCCATGTCCTCACTAACTCCAGCTGCAAACAGAGCTGCCAAATTTATGTTCCTAAACATTACACCTATCCCGTACTCTGCTCAAAATACAACAATGGCTTTCCAGGTCTACACTTTGGGTCCCAGATCATCTCTGCTGTTCCTTCTACGTGCTGCATACCCTTATTTCCCATCCTCTAAATGCAACTGCTGTTTCAGACAGATTTGTTTCCCACATTCATTCCCACTGCCATGTCTTGGCCAAGGAAGTTTGCCTCTGAGGAGGGCTGAACAGTGGACCTAAAGATATGACCACTTCCTAATCTCCGGAATCTGCGAATATTAACTTATAGGGCAAAAGAGGGAATATTACATTATACAGCAAAAGATACTATTAAGTTAAGGCTCTTGGAAGGAGGAGGCATTCTGGATTATCCAGGTGAGCCCTAAATCCAATGACAAGTGTCTTCATAACAGAGAGGCAGAGGGAGATTTGACCCAGACACAGAGGAGAGGAGGAGGCAATGAGACCATGGAGGCAGAACTGGAGTTATGCTGCCACAAGCCAAGGAGTTGCAAAGATTTGTCAGCAAATACCAGAAGCTAGAAGAAGCAAGGAATGGATTCTCCCCTAAACCCTCGGGAGGGAGTGTGGCCCTGACGCCATCTTTATTTCAGACTTATGGCCTTCAGAACCGTGAGAGAATGTCTATTATTTTAAAATACCTAGTTGGTGGTAATTCGTTACAGTAGCCCTAGGACTCTACTACGAACCCCCCCAGGCATGCCCCATCTACACCAATCCTGCCTTCCTTCACAGTAACTGTGCATCTTACCTGGGATGAAAAGAATGGCTCCAACGATGACATCTATAGTGAGCACCAGTCCAGCAACAAATAAAAAAATGGTTTTCCCCTTCATAGGATTGGATTTATATTTAAGTGCTTAAAAAAAACAACAACAAAGAATTACAGGAACTCAATCACAAGAAGTGAGGCCTTACAACTTACAAAGTGCAGAGACAAACTGATAACTTACTAAAATTGAATAACCTTTGAGGAACAACTCCTTCATATCATGTAAAGCCACCTCAAACCTTTTTCACAGTAAGTCAATGGCTAAATAGTGTCATGGCAGCATAAATATGGATGCCCAATTTATAGGTGATGCTGTATTCCCCTACACTTCAAAGAATGAAGTTATGTACATCAGGCTTTCTAAATTGAGGCATTATTAACATTTTGGACCAAATCAGTCCCTGTTCTGGGGGGCTGCTCCGTGCATTAGCAAACGTTTAGTGGCATCTCTGGCCTCTACACACTAGATGCCAGTAACAGCCTCCCAGCTGTGTCAATCAAAAATGTCTCTAGACACTGTCACATGTCCCCTGAGGAGCAAAACTGCCTCAGGTTTACAACTGACAAATATAATGCTGACGGGGAATACCTGGCTAATTAGTAACACCGAGAAAAAGACAACTTTGTTCTACCTTATATAAAATTAGTAAAGCATCTGGATATCTAGATATTTTGTTTTGAAAGAGTAGAATAAACATGGGACAAATCATACCCTCTTGAAATCCTGAGGGGGAAAAATGTTTAAATTGTTCAATTAAAATAATTTCATAAAAATAAACTATAAATACTCAATAGGATTCATCACATGTTATTGGTTTTGATTCCAGCTTTATTGCCAAGTATCCAGTACCTTCCCTGACAGAATAATGTAATAGATAAGCCTAAAAATATTGTATCTTTTACCATATATTTTGGGTTTTGTTTGATAAATATTAAAATTAATTTTTCCCCAAGAAAGTTGTTAAAAGTAACCTAAAGGCAGACTGAGTAGCAGAGAGAAACAGAGTGCATGATTGAAATTCTGCTGTTTTATCCACACACGATATTCTTCATGCCATTAATTATGTGACTGCTCTGGGGGAGAAAATTTTTTAAATGTTATCTTCAGCACTTAATTTGCTTTTACATTTTATTTTGAAAATATTTCATAATATTTATATTTATATATATATTTAAAATATTACATATATAATATTTTTAAATATTTTATAATTTTTGCATTTAATAATGACAAACAGATCAAATATAGTAAAAACAACAAATAACCCCCTAAATGACCATGGTAAAATCTATGTTTCAGGGATTGTAACCCAAGGTTATAGTATAACCTATGGTTATAGTGTTTAGGGTATAATACAGGTAACGTGAAATCTCTACCTATTCATACTTTAGATTGTAACCTCAACTCTATTCTCTTCAGGGGAAGATGGAGGGCTAAGCAATAACTAATCCTGAAGCAGAGTAACTAAAATCCACACTAATCAGAAAAGAGTAAGGAATATGGCAAGTTCCCCAAGCTCTCATCTGATCCATCCAGTCTTGGAACTCATCTGACTTGACTCAGTCATGTCCTCACCTTCTTCTAGGGCACAGATTTTCACAGCTTCCCTATTTTCCAGGTTCAAACACTGGCTAGGATGAAATTCAGTGTATAGGTCATAAAAGGCACAGACACAGCTAGAGAAAGAAACTTTCTCTAAACATACGTCAGAGTTTCCACTTTAATCTTATGTATATTGTTATCTAAACCGAGTTGGAAAGTTCGGCAAAAGAGTTATGACATAGAAGCTGTTTCAAACATACTTCACAAGCAATCAGACATTCATAAGAGACTTTTCTAGGTTTAACTCAATACATAAAGGAGCGACCAAGAGTAAGCAGCAAGACTTCACCTTAGAATACAGTACAAGTTCATGCAAAAAAGCTGACTTATACTATTCTTAACAAAGATAAAAATCTGAACCTCACATAAAATTCAACCTCTTCAGGCTTAGAAGAGCTATAGGAGAAAAATGCCAACAATAGCAAGAAAAATAAAATACCACAAAATTGGTAGTGTTTTACCATAGAATGGGTTTTTCAAAACCTTTGCGTATAAATTCACTACATATTGGAGGTACCTTTAGTTCCTGTTGATTGGTTCCACTACTACTTATTTTCAAGGCTACCTAAACTCTTCCCTAAACTAAGCAGCCATTTCTAAAAAATATGTTAGTGGGGTCTACTTAAGTCACCACAGGCAATGAAAAGAGTATCTCCATGTTATTTTTTAGTGAACCTTTAAAAAGAGTTTCTTTTGACTCATTTTCTTTGCTCACAATGGCCACATTTGAGCAAGTCCCATGGCAAGTGTGCAGAAGGTATGCTGTTGCTAGTCCAGCTGTCAATCTTTACAGTGTAGCTAAAGGGTCAGGCATCTGATACAGATGCCATAGAACCCAAGAATCTCAAGAGTCTTTTTCTGGTGATCTTTTCTTGTCCTTTAATAAGTGAATTTATCCTTATTTATCAAACCTATCTAAACTTTAAATGTAACAAAGAAAATAAATTCAAGTAATTTCCCAAACACTAGCATTAAGATAAAGATAATTTAATGTGTTCTTAACAGCAGGCCCTTATCAAACTTCCTGGTATGATTTTCTGGCTTCTTGGCAAGACAACTTAAGTAATTTTAAAAATCTGCACACTTTAAAAGATTCTCCTTAGGTAAAATTACCAAAATCAATACACAAAATAAAATAGGGGAAATAATAGTATTTACACTTTTTAAGACTTTACTTTTTTAGCACAGTTTTAGGTTTATAACAAAATTGAGAGGGAGAAACAGAGAATTCCAATACACTCACTGCCCCCACACATGCACAGCCTTCCTCATTATCAACATCACTCACCAGATGGTACATTTTTTATCAAAGATGAACCTACATTGACACATCATAATCACCCAAGTCCATAGTTCACGTTAGGGTTCACTCTTGGTGTTGTCCATTCTATAGGTCTGAACAAACGTATAATGACATGTATCCAGTATTATAACGTCGTACAGAGTATTTTCACTGACCTAAAAATTCTCTGTGCTCTGCCTATGCCTCTCTCCTCCCCTCCAACCCACCCCGAGCAACCACTGATCTTTTTACTGTCTCCATAGTTTTGCCTTTTCCAGAATGCCTGATAGTTGGAATCATACAGTCTGCAGCCTTTTCAGATTGTCTTCTTTCACTTAGTAATATGTATTTAATGTTCCTCCATGTCTTTTCATGGCTTGATAGCTCATTTCTTTTTAGCACTGAATAATATTCCATTGTCTGGATGTACCACAGTTTATTTATCCATTCACCTACTGAAGGCCAGCTTGGTTGCTTCCAAGTTTAGCATCCAAGTGCATGTTTTGTGTGGACCTAAGTTTTCAATTCCATTTGTTTAAATACCAAGGAACCCAATTGCTGGATCATACAGAAAGAGCATATTTAGTTTTATAAGAAACTGCCAAATTGTCTTCCCAAGTGGCGGAACCATTTTGCCTTCCCACCAGCAATGAATGAGAGTTTCTATTGCTCCACATCCTCACCAGAATTTAGTGTTGTCAGTATTTACACTTTTAACAAAAACTTATAATCTTAGCGCTGCCTGACACAGAAATACAAAACATATGGAGAGGCAATATCATATTTTTGTCAACAAATTAGGAATTCTAAAATTTTCCCTTTTATATCTTCTATAAAATAATTAAATCTAGCTGGCTACTTCCCAAAAATGAGCGAGGTTGGTTCATTCATTTGTTCTGCAAATATTTACTGTGTACCCACAATGTACCAGGTCCTTTAATTAGTCCAAATCGTATCAACCAAATCAGGGTACAAGTAGAAGATTACCTTATTCGACAATAATTGACTGAGTGCCTACTATGTAACAATCACTATTCTAAGTGCTGGCATTGAACAAGACAGACAGATCCTCCTGCCTCGATGCCCTCACATCCTAATGTGTGAGCATGTGCTGAAGGGTTGGGGAGGAATGAGTGATGGGGAGTTACTCCCGGATCCTCTTCCCCAGTTAAATAAAAGGTGTGGGTCTACTCTAGCCGAAGAAAACCCCTTTTATGCATTTAATCTTTCAAATTCATGTGAATGAAGAAATGACATATCCCTCTAGCCACCTGAAGAAACAGCTAATACTATGAAGAGATACTCTGTTTTCCTGTCTCCTTGCAACTGATATAAAGCACATATAAGACAGAAACACAATACAGGTTATGGTTGATGAAATCTAGTGAAACGACCAGGTCATCTTGGAGATCAAATAAAATCTATTATCTTAGTTTTCATGATTCTCCAAGGATGGTATTAGAAAGGCCAACACAGACCACAGTCCATCCAACAGAAACCAAAAATCCATGAATCCAATGGCTACTCAAAGACATGACATTGAGATGGTCCCTAAGTGATCAGTGAGCTAGTGGTGAGACAGGAAGGCTAACCAGTGAGGCATAATGCCTACCAGATTAAGAATAAATCATAAAGGTAGACGTGTGTAATTTTATTATTATAGTGATATTTTCTGATAACTCTAAGAAATTAATTTTAGGATCTTTTTGGTATCTCTTGAGCTGCAAATCAATATTGTCTTTGATACAGGATAAAGCACATCTGATAACTTTTAAAATGAAATTACAATTTCAAATTTTTAAGTTATTTAATTAAATTTAAATTACTATTTTAAAATATTTAACACATAAAAAAATAACGAAGGCTTTCTGAGACTGGTGCTGGAGAAAAGTGAATATTAATGCCAATTATAAACTGATTACTTGCCAGAACATAAAATAATTTTATAATAAATTCCATACACTATCTAACTTGCTTTGATGAAACAGTTTTGTCAAAATGAATACTGACTAGAAATCACATTCCCAGTATACAGGACCCAGAAATAAAAGAGCCCCGACTGTGTGCAGCAAGTACTTTGAATATAAAAGGTTAAAGAAGAGGATGTTCGACACACTGACTCCTTTCCTTCGTTCCAAACGCTCTCTGGTCCTGTGGATGGTGCCATAACTTCAGAGTGTATGCAGGAGGTTGGGATGTTTG